AACAGACAGCGAACCGCTCGTGCCCGGGGAACATGGTGGTGACGCCGAGGTCCTGAAGACAGCCGACACCAACCAGGTTCCTCGAGAACGAGGGAACGTGGAGGCCTGTAAGAGAGCCCGAGGGAACTGCTAGACAGGGAAGGGACGTGGAACTGCGAGCGACGACGGGACCCGCAGAGGGGTCAGCAAGAGAGACAACAGCAGGCGCAGCAAGCGGCGTAAGCGTGGAGCGGTCGCGGAAGAAACAGGCAGAAGCACCGGAGTCGAGAGTGAAGGACAGCGAGGCAGTGGCGGAGGCTGGGAATGGAGCCGGTGCAGAACCTAGGCTAGGCAAACTAGGCAGTCCTATGCCTGACACAGTAGGGGAGGCTAAGCTACACAAGGGTGAGACACCTAAACTAGAGTACACAGGGTAATAAGATCCAGCAACACTAGAAGCGTCAGCATACAAAGCATGCAAAGCAGCACCTATCTAACTCAAAGATCGGCACGCCCTGGCGAAGCAGGCTGTGCCAGTCGGGGAGGTCCGGGGCCAGGCCAAAGCGACGACGAAAGAGATCGTCGAGGCGGCGGAAACAGCGGGCTGTCGGGTGCGGGCGGCGGCACAGAGTGCCGCGGAGAGGCCCGGTCTGAAGCTGGTACAGGCAGGTCACAGTACTGGAGCTGCCGGTAGACGCCAAGCTGCGCGGGCCACTACCTCGGCAACCACCGCCGGAGGTGCCGGGCCAACCAGGTGGGAGACGAGCCCACGGCTGCGATGGCTGTTGCTGGGACGGCGGCGGCTGCTGCTGGGGCTGCTCTGGCTGCGTAGGCGACTGCGTCTGCTCCTGCCCACCGGTGGTAGTCCCCTCAGGTGGACTACCGTCACCACCACCACTACCACCACCACTAGTGCCACCACCACGACCTCCCTGGCGGCCACGGCCACCGCGGCGCGGACGCTGCTGCGGGTGGACCGCAGCTGCCGTCTCGGTAAGAGGGGTCGCAGTGGCGACCGCAGCCGAAACGTCAGTAAACGTGCACTGGGAGGGGGCACAGTCGTGAAAGATAGAGACTGCCGGCGCACCGCTCGACTGAGCGATAGTGCGCTGCCGCGTCTCGATCTCGGTGAGGGTGTCGACAAAGGCGGTCAGTGTGAGGTCACTCGGGTGCTGGCTAAGGAAGCGGTCGCGGGCACTAGCTAGGCAGACCGGCAGGCGCATGGCAATAAAATAGAGGGTCATGCAGAATGGGGGGGGGAGCGTAGTGATTTGGGCAGCAGTGCTGGCAGTGCGATAGCGAGTCTCTAGGGCACGCAAGTGAGTTGCAAAGTCTGCGACAATAGGGAAGGCAGCAAGGTCTGGGAACAGCATCGGGAAGAGCAGGCGGCCGGCAGAAGCGGATGCAGGTGTGGAATAGCGAGCAATAACAGCGTCTAAATAAGCTTTGGCCGTATCAACTGTAGCGAAACGCGAGCGCTCAGACACAGGGAGGGCGTGACTGATAGCAACCTGAGCTACTGCATCGCGTGAGTCCCAAACCGCACAGGCAAGCGCAGCAGTAGAGAAAGCCTCACTCTCAGCGGAGGTGGGGTCAGCAGGGAGGGGAGCAGGTGCAGGGGGGCGGGGGAGCAAGCCATCAGCATGGACAACCAGCGAGTGTCCATCCTGGCGCTGACCTGTAAGCTGACGGCGGAGATCGGAGGGCCAGGCGACGAAGTCAACCGCGTGGCCCTCAGCGTCCAGGCGGAGCACGAAGTCAGCCATCGTGCAGGGTCAGTGACACAGCTCCTCAGCGACACAGCGGCACAGCTCCACAGCTCGGCAGGAGCACAGCGGCACGGGGACACGGCGGCAGCACTCTCCAGTAGGGCGGCTGCGGGGCGCCCCGGCGCGGGCTAGCAGAGGACACGGTGCCCGAGGTGGCACGGCAGGCCGAGCAGGCACGAGGAGAGGCCAGGCAGGCAGGAGGAGGGGTCGGGCTGGCTCTGAAAACCGGGCAGGCGTGACAGGGCCGGGCTGGCGCTAGGAGGGGCCGAGCGGGCGCACTGGGACTGGCGGGCGGTAGGAGAGGCAGGGCGGCGCTAGGAAGAGGCCGGGCAAGTGCTGCTGGGGCCGGCTAGGAGCGGGCTCGACGGTCAGGGGGCCGGTCAGGAGCGGGCGCGACGGCCAGTGGGGCCAGCTAGGGGCGGGCGCGAACGGCCAGAGGGCCGGCTAGGAGCGGGCGCAAACGGCCAGGGGGCCAGCTGAGGGCGGACGCGACGGACAGGGGGCCAGCTAGGAGCGGGCGCGATGGCCAGTGGGGCCAGCTAGGGGCGGGCGCGATGGCCAGGGGGCCGGCTAGGAGCGGGCGCGAATGGCCAGGGGGGCCAGCTGAGGGCGAACTCGACGGCCAGGGGGCCAGCTAGGGGCGGACGCGACGGCCAGGGGGCCGACTAGGGGCGGACGCGACGGCCAGGGGGCCAGCTGAGGGCGGACGCGACGGCCAGGGGGCCGACTAGGGGCGGACGCGACGGCCAAGGGGCCGACTAGGGGCGGACGCGACGGTCAAGGGGCCGACTAGGGGCGAACGCGACGGCCAAGGGGGCCGGCTAGGGGCGGACGCGACGGCCAGGGGGCCGACTAGGGGCGGACGCGACGGCCAGGGGGCCAGCTAGGGGCGAACGCGACGGCCAGGGGGCCGACTAGGGGCGGACGCGACGGCCAGGGGGCCAGCTAGGGGCGAACGCGACGGCCAGGGGGCCGTCTAGGGGCGAACGCGACGGCCAGGGGGCCGTCTAGGGGCGGACGCGACGGCCAGGGGGCCAGCTAGGGGCGAACGCGACGGCCAGGGGGCCGGCTAGGGGCGGACGCGACGGCCAGGGGGCCGACTAGGGGCGGACGCGACGGCCAAGGGGCCGACTAGGGGCGAACGCGACGGCCAGGGGGCCGCTAGGGGCGGACGCGACGGCCAGGGGGCCGACTAGGGGCGGACGCGACGGCCAGGGGGGCCAGCTAGGGGCGAACGCGGCGGCCAGGGGGCCGGCTAGGGGCGGACGCGACGGCCAGGGGGCCGGCTAAGGGCGGACGCGACGGCCAGGGGGCCGACTAGGGGCGGACGCGATGGCCAGGGGGCCGGCTAAGGGCGGGCGAGAGACTAGGGCGCGGGCGGATGCGGGCGGGGGGGTCTAACCTACTCGATACCATGTTAGAATACGTGAATGATTACTAGAAGGAGAAACCTATAACATATACCTGTTGGGTTGTACTCACTAGAAGCACACACCTAGTCTAGCCTATAACTTCTACATAGAACATATGTATGAGTTGACACGACATTCAATCTGGTCACATCGCACTGTATAAGCCCCAGGTCTCATTTGGATAGGACACATTGTAATTACGTTCCCCTCTAGTATTCTGCGCTATACTCTGAGTTATAATTCATAACAGTGGGGGTATAATCCGACAGCATAGCACTGCTGGTGAGATTCAGCAATATTCACGCATTGCATATGACTCCTTTCCCCCTCCCCTGATCTCACTCCTCTTCCTTCCCCTGCTCTCACTCCTCTCCCCCTCCCCTGCTCTCTACCGCCTCTCTCCCTCCCCTGCTCTACCGCCTCTCTTCTCTCCCCTGCTCTCACTCCTCTCCCCCTCCCCTGCCCTGGCTCCTCTCCCCCTCCCCTACTCTATTGCCTCTTTCCCTCCCCTGCTCTACTGCCTCTCTCCCTCCCCTGCTCTCACTCTTCTCCCTTCCCCTGCTCAAACACCTCTCCCCTTCCCCTGCTCTCCCTCCCGCGCGCTCACGCCGCTCACGCGGCTCTCTCTCCCGCGGGCTCACGCGGCTCTCTCTCCCGCGCGCTCACGCTGCTCTCACTCCCGCAAGCTCATGCCGCTCTCACTCCCCTGCCCTCGCTGCTTTCGCGCCACTCCCTCCCTGCTCTCGCCTCTCCTCCTTCGTGCTATTGCGTCACAAGGTCGCCCCTATCGCGTCCTTCCCTCGGCGACTCACGTCAGTCCCTTGCTGCTATCGTGACTACCCCTCACTGTGGCCCTGATCGGTAAGTCGTATTCCAGAATACGGAATACGGAATGCGGAATCCGCTGCGAGCTTTCCGTATTCCGTGCGTTGACTCGCCAGGCTAGGTAGTGCGAGAAGTTGGGCTGGTTTATGTGCGAAATTGCGTGATGTAACTAACTCTTCTGAGCTGGCGAATTACCAAACTTGCCCGCCACGATCTTGGTCACGAAAACAAAAAAGAGGGGGGAAACAGGGCTTCAAATTGTGGATCTGGGGCCCTGCATCTGGCTTGACATCGAAATGCGACCCTGAATTTGTTTTCTTGGCGGTCAGACACAGGCTGGTAGTGGGTATTCGACGTTTCCCGTTTCCGAAATAAGGGAATTCGTTATTGCGTCTGGATTGCCCCACTCTTCACTATTCCCAACTATTCCTGCAAAAAGGCTGGAATTCACATCGACCGGCTGTTGGCACGATTTCGCCCGAGTCAGCAGCTAGGTGCCCTTTCCTTATTCCGTATTCCAGCCTTCCCTATTCTGGTGATCGGTACACACCTCGTCTGTTGGATAATTTCTAGTCAGAACTGGGTCTCGCCTTGGTCCCAAATTACAGCAAATTGCTTGCAACTTTTCCTTTGCCGTTCGAACTGTCAACGAGCAGGGGAATTGGGTTGCTTGGGCGAAGGTGTTTGCTTGCCTTCGACCAATCACATGCCCCCATTTATAACCACTTTCGTCCGGGTGCATGGGGTTACCCATTTTTTTGCGCTCTAGCAAAAACACTCGCGCCTTGCAATTTGAGATCTGGGCTTTAAGCTGTGTGTAGACTTTCTTGGAATTGGCTATAAAAGGGTGGGTCGAGTATCCTCGGCATAAATTAAACCATACTTGCAAATATGGTTTAATTTACCATATTTACCATACCTTTATGTAAATTCCTAGGTACAGTCACTTGAGACCAAACCATCCTCGGCATAAACCAAACCATACTAGCCCCTGGTCACATGAGCACTGCAATCGCTCCCGTTCCTTGCGTCGAGCCACGCAGAGTAGCAAATAGGGACCTTGCAGGTAAGGAGATTATAAGGAAAGGACCATCTATTGGCGTGCTGTTATCGAGCGCGTGTACAACTTCAGAACGGCTTGTATCGAGCCGTGAACGACGAACATCGCTGATCCTTCCCTCCGCCCGCGGACGAACCGAAGCTAGCGAAAATTTGCGACAGTCGCCAGTACTTATTACCTGCCGTTCGACAAATTCGCCAGCAATTGTGCTGCAGCTTCGCGAAAAGCGTCGATTGGCTGGCGAAAGGAGCATACGGGTTGCGATGGGGGGGTCAACGGGAGAGACGACGCACGAGGAAACCAGGGGCAAGGCGGAGGAAGGAGAGAAGAATATTCTCCTTCCGGATGGCCTTGTGATGCGTGACTTAGAAGAGAGTGACTATGGAAAAGGTGTGTGTATGTGAGCGGCTTGAGAAGGCGGGTGTCGGGGTGTGGGGGGGGGGAGAGTAGGTGGAATTGAGGAATTGAGGAATTGAGGGGAGAAGACCTTTGCAAGCTCCGCGTGTGTGTTGATTTGATGTTTGGGGGTGTGTACGTGTGGGTGTGTGGGTGTGTGGGGGTGTGTGGGTGTGTGGGTGTGTGGGTGTGTGGGTGTGTGGGTGTGTGGGGTTGTGTGGGTGTGTGGGGGGTTGTGTGTGTGGGCTTATGGATGTGGGTGGATGTGGGTGTATGGATGTGATGTGAGTCTCTGTGCATGCATGGCATGTGAATCCGTGCATGGGTGGAGTTGTGCTGTTGAGACCTTGGGTCAGTCAGGCATCTTTCACTATTCCACTGCTCCTCTCGCAGTCAGGTGCTAGCATCTTATCCGGTTCCACCGTTCGTCCTGGGACCTTCTGTAACCGTCTTCCATCCTTCGTCTCGTGGATGTGCATGCATGGCATGTGAATGCATGCATGGGTGGAGTTGTGCTGTTGAAACCTTGGTCAGTCAGGCATCTTATCTGGTTCCACCGCTCCTCCTGGGACCTTCTGTAACCGTCTGTCATCCCTCCACCTCGTCTCATGGATGTGCATGCATGGAATGTGAAATGCATGCATGGCGTGTGAATGCATGCATGCCATGTGAATGTATCCATGGATGTGAATGCATGCATTGCACATGTGAGTGCATGCATGGCACATGTGAACGCCATCCACATTCATGACATGTGCATGCCTGCACGGCATGTGCGTGCATGTGCATGGCATGTGCATGCGTGCAGGTTACATGGAGCTCCTCTCACAGTTGACATCCATCGGTGCAGTAACAGAGGAGCAATTTAAAGGTATGTGCGACAGAGATCGAAGCCCTGAACTAGGGTTTCGTGTCCCTTTCATCGGCATCGCTCAGTTAGTCCAGGGCTTGGATCAATCTCGATTCATGTTAATTCTGTTTGCGCTCTCTTTTCATCTCAACATGCGTTTGACTCAGTTTCCATGTTTCGTGCTCTCTTCTCGTAATCTCTCTACCTTGTTGATAGACATGGGCACAAGCTGAGCCACACCTGGCTCGGCTCGCCTCGCCTCGCCTTTAAGGCGAGCCGAGCCTTTTTTTTTGGTGCCCGGCTTGGCTCGCGCACGCGAAACCAGGCGAGCCGGAGTCGAGCCGGCTTGAGATGGCTCGATTTCGAGCCAGCTGGCTTGTGGTTCGGGTAAGGGGGGGGTTCGCGACAGTCAAATTTCAAATCGATAAACTCCCCCAAGCCCATTTCGTAAACCAACCCTAATCTAACCATGTCGCCCTAGTCTATCGCCCTTGTCTTTCACCCTCAGCCAGAACCATTTAAACTTGCAGCACCTTGTGTTATTTTTTAAAGATGTAAGTGCTATTATAATTAGGGCCACCGAGGCCTTGGCGCGACAGCCCTAGGCGCGCCACCGAGGCCTTGGCTCGTGGTATGCGCACGCTAGGGTTTAGGCTTGGGCGTGCATCCGTTTAGGCCTACTCCCGCGATGCTGAAGGTTGTAGGACGCTCTGCAAGTTGCAGATCATTGCTCTCTTCTCTCGGCACGCCTGATTTTTTTTTAGACGCCTAAGAATATGTTTGACTCTCTTTGCTTGTCCCGTGCTTTCTGCCTGGCAGATCAGTTTGCTCTCTTCTCTCAGCGCGCCACAGACTATCACGTGATGGTCATTGAAGGTAGATGTCCATGCATCTTACATGCACGCATCACACATGCAGTAATGTTGCAGCATCCATCCAGCATTGCGCTCTTCCCTCCCTTTTCACAGCGTGCTTCAGATGATAATTGAAGGTAAATGTCCATGCAGCATACATGCACCATACATGCACCATACACCCAGGATGCATGCAACAGTGATCTCTGGTCTGAAGTACTGCTCGTCTCTTCGTATCAGTTCTGCCCTGTACTGGCGATTGGTACCCTGCTAACAGTTTGCTGTCTTTTCTCCCTCCTCTCTCCTTTCCTTCCTTCCGTTCGTCCTTCCAGATACGGTGAACAGCAGAGTAGTGGCCACTGGTACTCTGCTGATTGAGCTCAAGTTTATTCACTCGTGTGGCGAGGTAATTATATTCAAGCTCCTCCCGTGCTCGACCCAGTGAGTTCTGCTTTCTTTCTAGACATGGTGAACAGCTGAGAAATGTAGTGGCTACCAGTACTCTGTTTATTGAGCTTCAAGTTCATTCACTCATGTGGCAAGGTACTTTTTGTGCTCTTCCATCGCTCGGTTTTATTAGTCAAACTTCTTACTTTGTTTCTTCGCTCGTCCTGCACATTGTACAACGCAAAAGCAGGCGAGGTTTGTTGTTGTGTTTTTTTTTTTTTTTTTTTTTTTTTTTTCTCCTTGTTTGTTTTTCTCCCTCATTTCGTCTTCCCAAATGCCCCATATTCCAACCCCATTCGACACCCGCACACACATACAGCCCGTCAGCTGGCACTCGTATTGGGCCCACCCCAGCATGCACTCCATTCATTGTCAGCATGCACTCCATTCATCGACTTCCACTGCCCCTCGCCCCACCCAACCCCCCCGTTCTTCCTTGTCTTTCCCCTACTCTTCCTTTCCACCATCCTTTCCCAGATAACACACATGTAGAATAAAGTGTTAGAGTTTGACTGCAATCCTACTTTGTATTTATACTTTCATATCCTAGTTTAGTACAGGAATGTTTTCGTGGGTTGGTTGAGGTGTACACACAAATTCCAACCTTACACAGATGTGATCCCCCCAATCGCCAATCCTCCAATTGGAGATTGCGGAGATCCCATTTGGGATTTCCCCTCGATTCCCCTCTGGTCCATATCAACTCACCTCTTGCTGTACAAGAGCCTAATTAAGAGCTCCTTCTCCTAATTAATCTTTCAGCTCAACCTCTCACATATATTTGTGGGCAGCAGCACCGTGCAATGGCTTTGCCTGATTCTTCTCTCTTTTTCCCTCCGCCTCTTGTCTCCCCCCTCCCCCCCTTTCCAGATAATGCGCATGGAGGATGCAGTGGTGGGTGGCAGCATGCATCGGCTTCGACTGATTCGGATCTCTCTTTTCCCCCCCCCCCTCCATTCCTCCCCCCTCCATTCACCCCCCCTCCCCCCCCCCCCCCACCCTTAGATTGGGCACATCGAGGACATAGTGGTCCACAGCAGCGTGCTATGTAGTGCCTTTTATCACATTCTCTTCCCCTTCTCCCCCTTCTCCCCCCCTCACTTCCCCCTTCCCTTCCGCCCTTCAGATCGGGCACACCGAGGACATGATGGTGCACAGCAGCATTCCATGCCGTTTCTCTCATTCTCTCCACCCTTCTCCCCCGCCCTCCCCCGTACTCCCCCCCCAGATTTGCCACATCGAGGACATAGTGGTCCACAACAGCGTGCCATGTAGTGCCGTTTATCTCATCCCCCCCCCCCCGTTCTCCCCACCTCTCTCCCCTTTTCCCCCCGTTTCCCTCTTCTTCCCCCAGATTGGCCACATTGAGGACATAGTGGTCCACAGCAGTGTGCGGGGGAAGCACCTGGGGCAGAGGTGGGGCGAGGGGGGGATGGGGGGTTGTGGGGGGGTGAGTCTACTGAGGGGGCAAAGAACAGCAGCGTGCCGGGAAGCACCTGGGGCAGATGTGGGGCGAAAGGGGGGGGAGGGGGGTGTACCTGGAAAGCGGGGGGGCATGTGGGGGGCATGTGGGGGGCATGTGGGGGGCATGTGGGGGGCATGTGGGGGGGATGTGGGGGGCATGTGGGTAGGCACCAGGGGGAAGAAGAGTGAGGGGAGATAGTGATCCCATCCGCCCTCTCATCCGCACCCATCCCAACCCCTCCTCTCTCCTGTACCTAAAATATGCCCCACCCTGCCTGCTTCTCATCTCTCATGCTCCTTACACCTCCCTCCACCGGTCTTCCCAGAATCATTCAGACACTCACAGATCTTGCCAAGAAACAAGGCTGTTACAAGGTAACGTATGCAAGATTTGCAACATTAGGTTCAGCAACTTGGTTCTCACTTCCCGGCTCAAATGATCACCATTGTGTGCCGCTTCCTTCCCTCCTTTACAGGTCATTTTAGATTGTGATGAAAAGAATGTCGAGTTCTACAAGAAATGTGGCTACAGTGTTAAGAACGTGGGTATGGCTAAATACTTCTGACGCTGTAAATCTTTATTTCAATACAAGCGTGCGGATTAGTACATAAATACATTTGGATTCCATCATCGTGTGAACTGTACTACCTATTATGAAGCACAATGTGCTCACATGCGGCAATTAGAGAAAAGTTACAGACACCATGAGCTACAACAGGGTATCAGGCATCAAAATTTCCCGTCCAACTGAAAAGAAACTGACACAAGTATTTTCTATGCCAGTTAATAGACAAACCGTTTATTGCTAGTGGGCGATGTTCAATCTTTCCTAAATTTCGGCATGTAGAAGTTGAAACTGTGGAGGTGTAGCTGTCAGTCACCTCTTCTACTTCTATAGAGGCGCCTCAAGCAGGGCCCCAGATAGCAGACGAAATCGGTCTGATGGTGTGAAAATCAGACTGGATTTTTGGGTTGCGTAGCAACCAGGCCCTCAGATTGGTTTTGGAAGGGCTGATGACTTAGGGTCACCCCTGTGAAAGGCAATGGTTTTCAGGGTCGGGGTTTGGAAGTGGCATTTTTTTTCAGGCCCAAAATTTTTCAAGCCGGACAAGTCAGGCCTACAAGTTGGGCTACCCTGATACAATTTTGGCTCCCTAGTACAGGCCCCCAAATTGGTTTTGGGGGTGTCTGATTCATCAGACTTGCTTGTCATCGCTTGGTATGGCCATCAGAGCAGGGCTAATTTTATCAGACTATTTTAGTCTGATTGTCTGAAATTTCAGACCCATTTTTTTGCTGTTGGGCTGAGAAAAGCCCTTAGGATCTTTTGCAGAGACTAAGTCCCAGCTGTAGAGACTTGAGACTTGGAGTAGTGCAGCGGAAGTTGAGGCAGTTGAACCCTTGTACTAGTATGTGAGAACAAGTGATTGATTAAAGAAACAAGCATACAGCAATATATAGTAGATAAGAAAGCAGTTGTAGAATACAGTTACAGGAACGGTTTATCGAGTCGCACAGCGACTCGATTGCCGCTTCGGTTACCATCCGTGATGTTGTAACGGTCAGTCGCAACCTCCAGTTGCGACCTTTCGAGTCCTTTCGCATTCTTTGTCCGCCCCCTCGTGTAACCTCCGTTGACTCGCGTGCTCCCCTGTAATCTTCCTCGAGTACAGTGTTACACTTCAGAAACGCTTAAGTCCTTGAGATATTTCCAACACTCCCCTTCGTTTCTGGAGTGCTGGAGTGTTCAGATCCGGTGGCGTTTGTTTGCCCGGTTAGGAGCATGCAGTAGTCGAATTTTGCTTTCGCCAATTTCTTCGTCAGATAATCTGCGGCCATTTCTGTCGTCGGGCAGTAACTGAGTTGAAGTCTCCCCTTCGCGATTTCATCCTTGACGAAGAAGTACCGCAGGGCGATGTGCTTGGTTCGATTGGCGAAGCCGTCCTTGTTCGCGATTTTGATCGCAGATTGGTTGTCGCAGAGGAGTGAGAAGGCGGGCAGGGTCGCGATCTTCGCTTCTTCGAGTAACTCTCGTAGGTAGAGTCCTTCCTTGGTCGCAGTACAAAGGGCGATATACTCTGCTTCAGCCGAGGATAGTGCGATTAACTCCTGCTTGCTCGACTGCCAGGAGATAGTTCCGATAGGTTCTAGTCGGTAGATGTAGCCCGTCCTAGACCGTCGATTTTCGCTGTCTCCCGCGTGGTCGGCGTCGACGTATCCGAGTAGTCGTACGGACGGTGTTGTTGCCTTGCTGTAGGTGAGCCCGATCGTCGGCGTGGAGACGAAGTAGAGTAGCGCTCGATTGAGTTCTTCGAGATCTTCCTGTTGCGGCTGCTTCAGATGTGTCGCCAGCTGGCTCGCACTATAGGATAGGTCGGGTCGGCAGGTTACTGTTGCGAATAGTAGACAGCCGAGCTTCTGTTGATACTCCTGGATTTGTTTCGCGGGGAGTTTTGTGGAGGCGCTACTGTTGTTCCCGTAGCGGTAGGGAGTTGGGACCGCAGTCGGTGTTAGACCGAATTTCTTCGCGACGGTGCTTGAGTACTTTCCAGCGTGTAGGTAGAACGCCGTGTCGTCTTCGACGACGTTCAGTCCTAGGTACTGCGTCACCTCGTCGGACACCGTGAGCGTCAGGTCCCTTTTCAGCTCCCCTTCGAACCAGGTGACGATGTCGGTGGTAGAACCGATGTAGAGCAGGTCGTCGACGTAGACGATGAGCAGAATGTAATCTCTTCCCTTCTGTAGTCGGTACATGCCTTGGTCATGTGGTAGCTGTAGGAATCCGATTTTTACGAGCCGGCCGTGAAGGTGCTGCTGCCAGAGCCGTGGGGCTTGCTTGATCCCGTAAAGGGATTTTTCCAGCTGGCATACTTTTGAAGGGTCGTCGATGAATCCGTGGGGTTGTTCGACGAAGATTTCGGCGTCCACAGGTGCGTACAAGAAGGCGTTTGCAACGTCGATTTGCCGTAGTGGTAGTTTCTTCGTGGCCGCGATGGCGAGTAGGATGCGCAGAGAGGTGTGACGGGAGACTGGAGCGAAGGTTTCTGTGTAGTCGGTTCCGTATCGTTGATCGAAGCCTCGTACGACCCATCGAGCTTTGAATCGTTCGATGGAGCCGTCTGAGTTGGTCTTGATGCGGTACACCCATTTCCCCGAGAGAATGTTCTTCCCGTTGATGCTCGTTGCAGGTACCAGTTTCCATGTTTCTCGGTCTTGCAGAGCTTTTAACTCTTTTTCCATCGCTTCCTTCCATTGTGCCTTATGTTCCCCCCCCAGAGCCTGCGACAGGGTCGACGGCTCGCGCGGAGAAGGCGGCGGCGGGTGCTGGACGGAGACCCATAGTCCTAGGATCTGCAGTCCCGTGGCTGTGTGTCGAGGGGAGTTTTCATTCTCGGGATAAGCTGCTTCATCACCGTCTTCAGGATCGGGTAAGAAGTTTGGCCCGATGCGTTCGGAAATATTCGAGTCGACGGGGTGTGGTGTAGCGTAGCCTTGGTCAGCGAAGTGGTAAAAGGTGTCGAGGTTGTTGCTATCGAGAGGATTATCTTCATCGAGTGGAACAGGTACGGAGCAGTAGGGGAGTGGTCCGGCAGCCTCCGAGGCTCCAGGGACGTCTTCTTCTGCTGCGTCAGCCTCGGCAGCATGGTCAGCGAAGGAGCGAAGGCCCGCGAAGCCGTCGGTGGGGTCGTCTGAGTTGGCAATGTTGTCCAGGTAATGCTGCAGCGTCAGTCGCTCGTAGAAGATAACATCACGTGATGCCACCGTATTTTTGTAGTGTATGTCGAGAATCTTCCACGCGTGAAAATGTTTGGCGATGCCGAGGTGTAGTCCCCACCGAGCTCGTTGAGTGAAGCGTCCTGCTCGAGCTGTGTGGGGTCTGTATTGTACCATGCAGCCGAAAACTCGAAGTAATTTTGTGCTGCCCCTTTTTCCCGTCCACAGCAGGTGCGGTGATGCGTTGTTGGGGAGCGATGACGAGGACAACAGGTTGTGCAGGTGGACTGCATGTGTCATCGCGTCTGGCCACAGTGTATTGGGCAGCCTCATCCCCAGAAGCAGTTTTCGCATCGTCGTCTGCAAGGTCCGGTTCATGCGTTCTGCTACCCCTTGCTGCTGGTGAGCATAGGGCAGAGACACCAGGCGTCGGATTCCCCTTTCCGCGAGATAGGTCCTGAAGCGTTGTGACTGGTATTCCAGTGCACCGTCTGACTGGAAACTCTTGAGTTTGGTTCCTGACTCTCGTTCGGCGATTGGAAGCCATGTGGTGAAGGCCTCGAAGGCTTGATCGCGCGTTTTGAGATTGAAGTGCCAGACGTATCTGGTTGCGGCGTCGATGAACGTGATGACGTAGTTGAAGTCGGCTTCGGTGTCGTCTCGAGGCATGTTTAGAATATCGCTGTAGACCTTTTCCATCGGAGCGTAAGTGGGTGCGCTTGGATTGTGATGGGCTGGGAAAGGTTGATGAGGAAGATCTGCTTCGGGGCACGTGAAGCATCGTGCTCTTGGTCGGCGAAGTTCTTGGCCGCTCGTCGTTAGAAGGGCGTTACGTTCTAACACCTCTGCTTGTATTGTTTGTAGTATCGTGCTGTTTGCAGGATGTCCGAGACGTTGGTGCCAGATGTCGTCGGGAGCGCGGTGACCGGGCGAGCGGTGGTAGATGTCGGCGTTGGAGAAGAACGCGACGACCGAGGCGGGACTTCGACAAGCTTCTCGTGTGGCGGGCATAAGTTGGTCTGCTTCCGTTGGCGGTCCTCGTGTTGATGGTGGTGGTACTCGGCTGGGTCCTGCTGCCGATACTGCAGGTGATGGTTTTGTTGGGACGCTTGCTGGTACTTGTCTTTCTTGTCTGATAACTGCTAATGCCCGTGTTCTCTCTGCTGCAGGTATGGTGTTGGAGTGCCAGAAGCCGTCACTGTCGAAGTCGGGATCAAGATCTGGTGGGTGAGTCCAGGCGGCGAACGATACGATGCCATCGCTGTCGGCAGTTCCGCGGTCGGGGACGAAGTCCAACACGAAGACACCGGACTTCAGGAGGGCACGACCGATGAAGAGACCGCCCTTCCCGTGGTAAAGTCGGAACTCGTTGGAGAAGGAGTCGCACTCCAGGTGAATCCCCTTAGCCATTAGTTGGCTTACGCTTAGTAGGTTGTATCCCAGATTGTCGACGATGAGGACTTTGTTGAGCTGAAGAATAACGTTTGTCTCCATTGATTGTAACTGAACCACGCCTTGCCTGTTTGTTTTCAGGTTTTCGTTGTTGGCGACGGTGATGACGACGTCGCGGTTGAGGCGTCGCTCGTGTTGTACGAAGCGTCCGGAGGAGCACATGTGCTGACCGCAGCAACTGTCCAAGAACCAGGTGTTCCGCCCGGTGGGTTCGGCGTTAGCGACTGCAGCGTATGTCGGGTTGACCTGAAGTCCTTGCGAGCGCGGCGGCGGGAATTCCTCTTCGTCTGGTGCGTAAGTGGGTGGTGAAGCGGGTGCGCAGTTGTCGATGTGTACCATGCAGTTGATGATGTTGGGTGTTTGTTGTGCAGATGTTGAAGAGCGCCTTGGAGGACTTGCTTGAGTGGAAGCGACTTGTGGGTCTGCTGCGCGGTAAACGCGAGGGCGGTTGCAGTTGACCTTGGAGTGCCCGGAAGTCTGACAGTTGTGGCAGAACGGCGGCACGATGGTGAGTCC